CAGCGGCAGCAGCGGCGACGACGACGACCGGAAGCGGGAGAAGGCGGGAGCCAGAGGGAGTTCGGGGAAGCAGGGCTGCCGGAAGTGACGTTACACGGGCGGGGCCAAGGGGTGAGGGGGCGGGGCAGCGGGCGGAGCGGGACTTAACCCCCACAGGCCGGAGGGGAGCTGGAAGCGATTTGCGCGAAGTGGTTGTGATCTCCTCGAAGGTAGGCACGGAAAACTTTAGCGGTTTTTTTTTTTTTAATTGTCAGTCAAGACTACTTTACTTGAGGCAACTTCTGCTTCCTAACCATCTAAGCAAAAGTGTAGTTTTACTTTTAATTACTCTATTAAATATAGGCAATGCATGCGAGATGTATTAAAAAAAAAAATCAGAGCAGAAAGGTTTACAGTGCCACTGTCTCTCAGTTTCCCAATTCCCCTTTCCAGGGGGAACCGTTGGTACCAGTTTATTGTGTATCCTTCTGGAGACAGTCCCTATATGCACCGTAATGCAATAAATAAACAGGAAAAGAAAGAGATTAATAGCTACCTACGTCACAAAGATGAGTACAGAGTTAGAGATAAAGAAACTGAAGCACAGGGGAAGGTTAGGACCACGAGGTACCTGAAAAATCTAGGTCGGTCTCAAAGTCTGGTCTCCAAGTTTACGTTCTTAAAAATTGCTGAGCACCGCAAAGAGCTTTTGTTTATGTGGATTATATCTATTGACAATTACTGTACTAAAATTAATTTTTAAATGTTCATGAATTCATAAAATAATGTCATTACATGTTAATGTATTCTTAAATTTATATTTCAAAAAATTAGAACAGTGGCATTGTTTTACATTTTTGCAAACTTTTTTCCTACTTACATGACTTTTTATTTTCATCATCATCATCAACTACTATTTATTTGATGTTGAACTGCTGTGCAGTGAACAAGCAGTATATAATTAAGAAGCCAGAAGTATGGGAATCATCGATTAGCACTGTACACCACACATGTTACCATGCAAAGTACATGAACGGAGTATCAGTGTTGCCACGACAGCCTTTGTGTCCATAAAGCAATATTAAATCACAAGTCCACCAGGAAATAGGTTATTTGTCTGCTTCCCTTTACACCATGCCCATAAGCGCTGTATTCATGCAGATTAAGTGTGTGTTTAGAATTTATAAGGAGACAGTCCAGTAGTATATTTGGGAGAGAAAATAATGGTTAAGTGCATGCCAGGCTTTAAGTCAGTCATTTGAACAAGTGACTTAACCTCTCTGAGCCTATTTCTGTTTCTATGGAATGGCGCTACCTACCTTAAGATTTTTGTGAGGATTAAATGAGAAAATGAATGTAACGCACTAGGGTACAGAGCATAGTACAGAACGAATGCTCAATAAATACTAGCTATAACAATATAACCAGCTACCATTAAGAAGAATTTAAGCATGTCCTAATTTGCCTTCTCATTCCTAATCAAGGTACATGTTCAGTTGTATCAGAAAAGAAAATGTTCCTGTCTGCAGCATTATTGAACTTATATCCACTTGGATATTGTCAAAAATGACTTAATTTTTCAAAAGATGTAAGGATATTTGGCTTTCAGTTTGTGGGAGAACTTCTTCTCCTCTCCTCTACCTCTGCCCTGGATCAACCCAACAGTCAGTTCCCAGATCTTGAGATGGAGAGCCTGGGCAGGGGAAGAATAACACATCACTCCATCCTGCTCAACAGGTAACTCATACAGCAATTCTTAATGGAAGGAGGTACAGGGCCTCTTCATATTTCCATGACAAGGTCTATAGCTGCAAATTATTCCCTGGAATAAGTAAATAGAGCCCCATATTTTTGTAACAGAGGTAACTTCAACACTTTCGGATCTGGTTCCTGACATATTCGATGTGTAAATACCATGACAGTGAAAATACATGCCACTCTACACTAATGTAGCTCTTTTATTAAAGTAAACCCTGGAATCATAAGATACAGCATGGCTTTAAAACTCAATAGCATCTTTGTGGTGCAATTGGTTAGCATATTTGGCTATTAGATTGGTGGTTTGAGCCTACCCAGGAATGGTCTTGTCTCCAGCCAATTTCTTAGTGATGAAAATATTCTGGAATTAGATAATGGTAATGGTTGCACAACATTGTGAATGCACTAAATGCGACTGAAATGTACATGTTAAAATGGTGAATTTTATATTTTATGTTAGATGTATTTTACTAAAATAAAAGCAAAACTCCAATAAATGCAGTGGAGGATGCATTTTTCCAAAACTGACATGAATACATTTACCTTTAGTATGCCTTTATACCTGAATGCATATATGTACATCAGCTTTTTAAAAATCTCCAGTCTGGGTGTTCCACTCTGTAGCTCTTTGGCAGCACCCAGGGATATGTGACTCATCTACATCCCTATTTGGGATTAGATTAAGTATTGTATTAATTACACAAGCACATAAACTCCCTTGCAAAACTCTTTGGACTTAGAACATATTTGCTTAGTATAGAAAATTCTCCCATGCAAAGGGCAGGCTGGCAATGGGATGTGTGTCTGCCCTCTCCAAAGGCATTGTATGGCTTTCTTAATGAATAGGAAAGGAGACAAAAAGGGTCTGTAAGAGGACAGCTGAGAGTCTTCTTTTAGCCAGTACAACTTCTCAGCATAGGACTCAGGACTCCGTTCTTCTGGACAAAGCCAATGTTGTTCTTTTATAAAGCAAAGATCATGAAACGTGGCAGGTTTTTAAGACACAGAGGACAAAAGAGAGAGTTGGGAAAAACACGAAAGAGACAACATCTGCCAGGAAGTCCTTGAGGCAGGACTGAATACCTCCCAAGGAAAGACTTCAGCAAAGCCAAGGAAACTTCATACTGATCAAGACTGGTGTTGGTGAGCAAGGACGGATGACCTTGTACACCACTGTAGAGGAAAGGGCTCCCTGGGCAAGTTTTTTTTCTCATTCCAGCAAGCAGATTTCAGCTGCTCCTGCTATACTATTTCTTTCCAGAAATGTGATGGCTTGTGAAAGATAAGAAAACCTATGATGGCCACTGTGACCAGGATAAAGGAGACGAGGACCATGAGGAAGATATAAGTGGAGTAGGAGAGAGGTCTAGACAATGGCTGCTCAGCTGAGATCAAGTTAGTCAGGTTCAGCCTAAAGTAGCCTAAAGTCCATCCCATGTTGCTGCTCTGGATCTTGCCCACGAAATGAATATTCGTTCAGGAATTAGGTGTGAAGTGACAGGGGTACTCAAGAAACAGCCCCTCTGAAGGAGAGAGGTAATGTAGGTTCTGGAAAAGCAGTATTCACTCAGGTACTTTTTCAGTTCACCAAAATATATCTTTAGCTCTTTCCAGGGCTGAAAGCAGAACTTTTCCACGATGTCAATCACCTTTTCCTAAGAGAGGGGTTCCTCTGATGGAAGGTTTAAAAATTTCATCACATAATAGTAAGTTGTGAATGCTTATTATTCCTTGGAGTGGCAGCAAGAAAATCCTATTGAAGGAGCAGTGGGAGTAAGCACAGTTATTGATGTTGATGAGTTTAAAGATGCTTTCCCGGCATCATTGAACGCTTCCAATGCCTTGGATTTGCAACTAACAGAATGGAAGAATCTTGTCAAATTTCCTGGTGCAGGGGCTGTCTTGCAGGTCACTTACATTCATTACCCTGTTATATGTACAGTTAAAACACGGGTCCCTGAGGGTTGTGTTTGTGCCCCGAATATCCTTGACCAGTTTCTGCAAGAGTGCTTGATCCTTCCCGTAACACAAGAGGCTATGTGTGTGTACAGCGTGGTCCTTGCCATACGGATGAAAGTACAAATCGTTCTGTGGAGACTCAATAGTCTAATTTGGGGGCACAACAGTAATTTGCATAGAGGCTCCCCCAAGGTCTAAAGCAGCATGAGTTTCCTGACTATTGTTTTCATTTGGCATTAAGTCGAGCCACCTCAATTTCTTAGTGAATTTTCCCAGCAGATAATTGACAGTAATCCAACCATAGGTGCCTTTCTCTTTGCCAGTGATGATTCTGGTACCGTGGAAGTTAAAGTAGTTGCTGAGGCTTGGTGTCAGGACCTTGTCTGCCAACCATTTATTTTCTGTGCTAAGCAACTGCTTGCCTGCCATGACTCCCAGATAAATAAGTGTCTCTTGGTGCTAGGACTTTGGAATCACTTCTCTGTTTTTTTCCCACATACATAGTCAGATAAATACCTATTTCAAATATTTTTTGAGCACATTTTGAGATTCCAAGACCTTTTACTTTGCACTCTTCTGATTCACCAACCCTGTGTCGTTCTGCTTCCAGCACAGTCTCATACTTAACATTTTCTGGCAATGGTTTGTTCCGGGTCAGCCCCACAGCTATCAAAGCGATCACAGCCATGATAGAGGAGAAGCCAAGGATGATCAATATATTTCTGAACCAAAAAGCTCTTCAGTTCAGAATCCCTTGCTTCTTCCATAATTGGCAGCTTTTGTTTTCTTTTTCTTTGTGCGTGTGCGCTCCCTCCCTCCCTCTCTCTCTCTTTCTCTCTCTCTCCTTTGTGCGTGCGCGCGCTCCCTCTCTCTTTCTCTCTCTCTCTCTCTCGTTGTTTTTTGTTTTTGTTTTTGTTTTTTTCCAGCTTCTGCTTGCTGTAGTCTGTCTTAGTGAGAGGGATACTCAAGAAACAGAGATATAACAAACCCTCAGCTTGTGGGAGGGGCTAAATTAGCTGGCCCTGTTTCAGAAGGAACCTCAAACCCTATGTTTTTTACATTGACTGGAGCCCAGATGCTCATTTCTCAAAAGTACAAGAAGCTTCTCGAAATTATAACTTTTGGTATTCTTGAAGCTGTATATACTCAAATATCTACATTTTTGCAAACATTTTAATGTCTGCTTAGTGGAAGACAGCTGGAGCCTTACATCTGTTTCTTCATTCAATCCATTGTGTTTTGATTCAAGTATATGAAGAAAACCCAGATTCATACAGGTATGTGGTTGAAAACGAGGGAACTGCATAGGTCCCTGGACAGGGTCTCAGGGATTTCCAGGGTTCCCCAGACCACACTATGAGAACCGTTGCTCTGGGCAGCATTGCTGCTGCCCACAGCATGTTCAAGATGGAATTGAAAAGATAATCATGGGTACTGTCAGCATAGCTACCATCATCCCCATTTTGCAAGTGAGGAAGTTGCGGCTAAGTGTTTAGCCCAAGTAGAACAGCTACTACTTCACTATTCAGAGAGTCAAACCAACCGTGTGATTGGAAGGTTGGAACTTTCAGTCTTACCCTCCTGACCTCTGGGGAGGGGA